CTATTTCGTTTGCCTGCTGCTGCAGTAGTGCACGTGTCCCGATGCAGTATTTTGGAATTCCGGCGCGCGTATATAAATAATAAACACGTCAACGCGCGAGCGTAATGCGTTCCAGGCAGAAAAGTAAAAAAAAAAAAAACCATCCCTACCTGTATCTATTTGTTAAATTATACACATATCCATATATATTGCCGTCATATTATAATATATATACATATATATATATATATATATATATACTTATACTACCCCCGTCACACGCTGCACCAAGACGCGGAGCGCACAAAAAGCGTTTTCGGCGGTGATGCACATAAATGAATATATATATACATAAATATAAATAATAAAATATATAGGTACGAATCGCGTGCAATGTGTCCATATCGAATTCGGACCTCCTACAACGGTGTGCGAGTGTGCGCCAAGTTAAACCCTTAACGTCCGTGACCAAGGGTACAGCTGCGACGGCGGGCCCGAGACACGCGACCCCCCGACACCGTGCGCGCAAAATCCGCCGCCGCGGATACCGTGACGACGATATATTATATATTATTCATACACGCCTCGAGTCTTATTTTTCCATTCTTTTTATATAAAATATAACATTATGTATAGGCCTCGGTAGGTATAATATTATTTCTTACATTTCGTTTCTGTAATTCGTCCTGCGCCGCGCTGTAGCTCTCGTCAGCCGCCGCTTTCTTAAGCCTGCGATTTCCTCTCATCGTTCCGCATTTAGCATAACATTATAATATATATATATGTATTTTCCATTCAAACGGATCATTCGTACGTTTAAAATTTAAATACATTATATTATTATATATACGTTTGTATGTATTATTGTACGTCGACGTTCAGTGTCGCGCTTCCATCCTCTGTCGTCATATATCATATAAAATGTGAGACCTGTCATCGCGTCTAGAAATTCTCGGTTTTGTGTTATATATTTTTATCGATAGTTCACTAAACTGTGGGATGATTTTCGGGGTTAGTAAATTGTGCTAAATAATATAGACACTGCTGCAGGCCAAATAAATTTTAAACAAATAAAAAATATCTATTACATTTAGTACAACTTTAGCTGTTACTTTACTATTATAACTTAATAAAAATATACAATGTGAATACTTGTTATATTTATACATATAATAGTCTAATATATCTTATAGTTATAGTATCATTGTTGTGTAACTCCATATTATATGAAACTGCTTTATCGTGCAATGCAATCGGCTGGCCAATAAATAGTTAACATTAAGGAAAACTTGAATTCTTTTGTCGATATCACTGAAATAAGTTAATATTATTGTGATGTATGTTGGTTATTATTTCGTTTCATAAAAGTCCCGGTTCCCAATATTATTATAAAATATTGAGTTCAAATCAGCTATTAACATTTTAAATTATATAGATATTTTAAATAAAAATTATTTAACCAGTTTTTTGATGTTCATTTTGAAATTTTTTCAGTATAATACATTATAATTTTTTTTAAATTCATATTATTTATATATAATATATATATATAACTTGTGTATTTTATATGAAAATTTAATAATGATGGGATTAGAATGACAAAAATATATTTTTCATACTAGTAGTCTGTTGGTAAAACTCTAAAATAAGAGAAATTATTGGTACACTGATACAAATTTTGTTTTAGGGCATAATTGGTTCATGGCCAAATGGTATTATGCATTGAAATTAAATCACGTCGTCGTGACACTTTTACGAAATTTACTTACCAATTTTCGTCATGTACTTATTTATATTTTATCGTGTGACGTTTGCGCCTTTTTCGCTACTTCATGCATATTCTATTATTCTTACACTACGTTGAGTGTCTCTGATGTAATATATAGTTTTAGGGAGGCTTAGCACCCCGAGTTACACCCTTATATATATCTAGCTACCACGCCTATACGTATGTATATGCACGTTCAATTATGGTACGTATATATTATATGTTGTATATTTCTTCATCCAAGGATGGCGTTTCTCGTTCGAATTTCGGTTATACATATAAATGTTATTTTATTAATACTATTATTCTGCAGTTATACTTCCGGTAGGTATACATAATATATGTATAGAGGCTATAATGATTTTTGGCGTTTTTAGATGATTTTCCAATGTGGGAACCAACTTGATGTTATACTATGCAATATAATATATAAATTAATTTGTAGGCATAGATTTAAAAAAAAAAAAAACAGAATAAACCCTAAACAATTTAAAAATTAACAAATTAAAAAACAAATGGTAAATTTAAAAAATCAATTATTTTAACGAATAATATTGTGTAAAAACGTTCATTCAAAAATAACCTATCATATTATGTTGTACAAAAAAACAAAAATAAACATTTTAAGATAATAATAAATTTGTATATATTTATGATTTGTTTAAACTTGCTATTTATCTTATATATTACGTTTAGAATAGGAAATATTAATTGTTCATATAGATCATTCAGTATCACTATGAATATTTATAAAATATTATATTTTTTTTTCTAATGACTATGGCAGTTACGACAGTGACTACAGCTGACTTAGCAATTAATCGTTTGAAACTTAATTTTATTTTCGCCACACACGAACTGTATTTTCTCGAATTTATTATTATCCATTATTATTGATTAATATAAATTAATTTATAAATATATATATATTTATAGCTTTCAACAACAGCCGTGTGTCTGCATTGTCAGTTCGTCTCTTTAACCCAACATATTATAATGTTGTTCACTCACAGATTGATGAAAGCGAAGAACGGCCCACCACGGAGATTACGCCCAAGTCCTCGTATAAGGCGCAGTTATACAACACACTGAACAAGCAGATGGTTTTCCTATACAATACACAAAACGATGTGAATTAAACCGTAATATATTTATGAAATTGACCATGTTTAATGTTTATGCGCACGTAGATATACATATGTATATAGTTCTTTAAACGATTGACTGAATTTTATAATTCGAAATTACTATATATTATACTAAAGTTGGTCGAAATAACTATTTATATGTACGTGCATTATGTACATAACTGTTGTAAATAAAAATACATACTGCGTAAACGATCTATATAACTTTTAAAAGTATGCCGATAAATTTGTCAAATCGAGCAAATCTCTCGGATTATTCTTTAATATTGACAAATATAAATCCATGACCTACATACTAGCGGAGTATAGTCGTAAAATTCTATTATTTTTATCTACTCTATCAACGATTCACAACTTTCCTTATTATTATTGATATATAGAGTTTTAAAATAGTGTGTAAGTATTATTAAATAAATAAAATTAGACTCAAACTGCCAATAAATAAATAAATTTGATGTATAAATATCTATTATACTCGTATATTGAGCTTCGTGATCGCACAATAATTTTATCAATTCTCTGCAGCCGCACTCGATAAAATCTGGACCATATATGTATACAGGTTTATTATAATTTCGAACAGCAGTACATTGGCGTCTTTATAACTCTATATATATCATAATTTATAGCTCAGCAAATACAAAAAAGTGGATTAATTTTTTTTTTTTAATGTATACGTTTCACACAGGTGGCGGTTTTATTTTTTAGACTTAACCTCGATTATGACGTTCGCGGGCGTATCTTAACGTATATATCAGGATCCGATATGTCACCACCAATATGTGACCACAGTCGTATAATAAAAACCGCACATGCAATATAATAATACCGACATAATATGTACCTACCTATATATGTTATACTGAAATAATATAATAACCGTCGCCTAGCATGCGTGTACACGAGGGTTTTAGCGATATCAAACGTCTTATTTACGACGCTTTTTTTGCGATCAGAACGGCCTTCGGATCGAAACGATCGGCGGCCGACTATATATTATGTATTGCAACGTGATATATATAATATACTTATATATATATATATACGTACACGCATCGTATATTATACATTATAATAATATATTATTATTATTATTATTATATTGGTCCGTCTATTGTAGCCGGTCATATAGTACGTGCCCGTTTATTAAATCTCTCTCTCTCTCTCTCTCTCTCCTCTCTCCACATCCTTCTCTCCACTCGTCATCTCGACTCTGTCCGTCTTTTCTCCTCTCCTCATATTAAACACAGGTAAGTACGTGATGTATCACGCGTGCGCGCGCGCACGCGCGGTGTCGCATTCGATTTCGTTTGATTTCTTCCGTTGTTTTTACGACGTGCGGCGGTGACGTGACGTCACACTCGCGTATATAATAATAATAATAATAATAATAATATTATAATGTTACGGGCCGCCGTCGTGTTGCCAATGCGTCGAGACGAATTTCCATAACGAACACGGGCGCGCGCGATCCCGTGTGTGCGTGTGTGCGTAGACAATGTGCGCGCGGGCTCTCTTTGAACTCAAACCCATTAGAAATGCTAAACCCGGTACTGCATTTATGCGTATACCGTACAGGTCGGTCGTGCGCTGTATATACCTATACCGAAACAATGTATATATGTATATTATGTGCGCGGTGGACGCGCCGAGTTGGCGCGGAGGTAATTATTGAATATTTTATATTTTATTTGAAAAAAAAATAAAAATAAAAAGAACGATAACACTGTGTTGCGCCGACTGTAAGCCGACAGAAGAACGACGACCGTGTGCACATACACACACACACACACACATATAAACCATATAGTAAACGACGGAAGAGAAAAAATTAGAGATGGAAAAGAAATCGTTTTGAAGGAAAAAAAAAAATAGTCACAAGAGGCACGTAATTGAATATCAGTGACACCAAACGAACGCGCGTGCGTTAATATTACATATTATTATTACTATTATTGTATATATTATATTATCATGCTCGTATATAGAATATTATAATATTGTGTTTTTGGAACGGTACGGTCGTGCGCGTGCGCGCGTACCTGTGTATGCGATCACGGCGGCGGCGTGTACACTCGCACGCGACGACGAGCGGACCCCACGCGGGTTGACACCCATTCCGCCGCCGACAGCCAATGGCTCGCCGCGGCCTTTTGGCGCGAGGGGTTCTGACGAGCGGTGCCCCTGCGAAAAAACAAAAACGCCGACCGCGAAAAGGACGAAAAAGAATATGGCCGTTTGCCGCGAATAATTATCGTCTCGCGCGTACAGCAGAATATGTATTGTAATATATTACATTATTATTATTATACCGACCACCGGCCGTTCGCGTTTAGTGCTTTACCATTATTAATATCGTCATCGCCGTCAGCGTCATCGTCGTCATTGTCGCCGTCGTTGTCGTTGTCGTTGTCGTCGTCGTCGTCGTCGTAGTCGCCGTTATTATCTGCATCCGTCGTCGTGTGCGCGACTCGACGGCGGTCGGCGACAATTATATAATATATTATCATAAAATAATATTCAAAATATCATCTCATATCATACAATATCGTCGCCGTTGCGCCACGTACCCAACTGCACTGCAGCAGCAGTCGCGATTTTCCGACGTCTGAATTATTATTGTTGTCTTGTCTCCTAAAATATATTACATTGATTTTCGTTACGATAACACTATAATAATCCGCGCGTACGTGTGGAGTGTCGCCGTCCCGGCCGTCGCGTGCACACGCCACACAACGTTTTATGCGCGTACGGGTCGCGTCGTCGCGCGAACGCCGACCGACGTTCGAAGATTTTTGTCCGTTTGTCGGAAAACGGTACAGTAGCCGCGGACCGTCGCCGCAGACTCGCGCTTTCGCCGCTGCTCGTGACGACTTTAATATTACAGAATAAAAATATCACAGACTTATCGCCGACGAACGTCCGACTGCAGCGTATGTTGCGCGGATATATGATAACAATATCTCGTGACCGTTATGCGCTTTTCGCGCCGACGACGAAAGGTATCGACGTGGTAACCTAACGTACTAATAATTTTATTCGGATCTGAACTTTAGCGGAATATCGTCTCCGCAATCTAATCGTATAATATACAATAATGTACTCGACGCATTACAACGGATTCACATTTCAAGGTAAGTCCGTAGTATAGCATGTCACGTTATAATGTTATATTATACCATCGTCGTTTTGTTTTACCTATACATTAAATCACTAAATTATTCAACAATAACGGTTGGTTAAAACGTATAAATAATAATAATAATAATATGACTAATATGAGATTAATATAATATTGTACTCAGCGGTTTTATACGATCAATGCATCATAGTAACGACCGTCAACCTTTTTGTATCTATCGATGGTATATATTATTATAGTACTTACCACTACCTTTACTACGTGCTATAAGCTTTGAAAATTTACAAGTATCATTTCAAATAGAAAATCGCTTTAAAACCCATTAATGTGAAAACTATAAAGAATTTAATTAGGAACTATATGATTAATAAGACGTGATAATACTATACGAATGTAATATATAAGTGTCTATTATAATAAACGTTCATCTAATAAAACATTAAATTACCATTATTTTTTAAATAGCCATATGATTACAATTCGAATGTTTTCAAATTTAATATTTAGTATTAACAATATCTATAAATGATAAGTATATTTTTAACTATTTTATTTGTGGACTACTTATGAGGTTTTCGTGTATCACTATTAACACTCATAGGAACTACTGATTATAAAATCCACTTGGACCAAGTAATGCAATTTGAGTTTAAATTTATCTTATCATTAGATATTTTATAACATAGGTATACGGCATACGCCCATTATATTTTACGAAAACAGAATATTTTATTTCGATATACCTATGCACATCATATTTGCAGCTTTAATAAAACTATTATAAATAAGTATGAAAATTATATAGCTATTAGATATTGAAACAATAGTAGTTCATCATTACAATTTTTCGATATAACTATGCTGATAGATATATATTAATAATTAAACCGACGAATTTAATAATTAGTATTATATGTAACAATAAAATTATGTTAACTCTAATTTCATATAATATAATAATGTACCTAATATTTTATAACTTTTATTTTCCATGTAAATATATATAAAGTAAGAATATTATTTGTAAAGTTTTACAAATAATTTTTTTCTTATTGAAAACTGAAAAAAAAAATGTTTTATTTTGATACGAGTAAAATAACTTGAAATAAACATGTTACATTTTTTAAAATATAGGTATATTTTCAAATTTTGTTAAAAGATACTGAGAGTATTTATATGTATAGAAGATCTAAGATTAAATAAAAATAATATTAAATTAATAGTGTTTAAATTAATCAACAATTAAAAAGTGCAAAATAAAGTTTAAAATAGAATTTCAAGTCAATATTTAAAATGCGTATGAATGAATGTATATCGGTATAATTTGTATACTATATTGCTTGATACAAATTTAAAAGTTTTAAAAAAAATTGGTTTGATGGGCTATTACAAATGTTAAAAATAATACCTATTGTAAATTCCATATAGATAGCGACCACTTATCGTTTTGTACATAGATATTCATGTATTATTACAGCATGGGCAGACTATACGCGAAATTTCGCATAACTGTCCATCCATTTATAATTTTTTTTTTATTATTTGCCGTTTTGCTAACTTGCAATTTTTTTTATGAATCATTATAACATTATATTGATGCATGAGAGTATCTATTTCTTTTTGATGTATAATTTATTTATCATTAATACAAGTCGTGCATGTGAATTAGGTTAATGATTTTTGAATAACATAGGTAGGTAGTACTTTTATGTGTTTCGATCTAATTTCGAAAATTCAATAAATACATATTTATATATATATTTATTATAACTGTCTTATAGGCCAAGGGCGTGTGAACCAGCTTGGTGGTACGTTCATTAACGGCCGACCGCTGCCTAATGTGGTTCGGTTAAAAATTGTCGAAATGGCCGCGGCCGGCGTGCGGCCAAGCAACATATCTAGACAGCTTAAAGTGTCACACGGATGCGTGTCCAAGATACTCAATAGATACCAAGAGACGGGCAGCATCCGACCCGGCATAGTGAACAGCGATCACATTCAAGTAAGTATACTTAGGTATACTTATTTTATAGAATATCCTAAACGGACTACTTCTGTTATTACATCCACTCACATAGAAATGAGGAAGTTGTCTTAACACCATGTTAATATATGTTCTTGGGATTAAAAACGTATTTTGAACCATCCAGTCGCATAATAATACAAATGCATCCGTTCATCTAAACTTATAATTTTCAATCGAAATATACTTACTATAATTTACATTAATGTACCTACTGTTTAATTTTGGCCTGTAGAAAACTAATAATAATATTATATATTATACTATATATATCGATAAATAACTTCATAGCACGAAAAAATAACTATGGATAAAAATTTTTATAATATTAATTTTCAGTTAAATTTGAAAGATAAAAATTATAATTTTTAATAATAACATTGGATTTACAATGATATATAACTTATTTTTGTATGTTGATTGCATATCGTCAGGTTTATAAAAAAGAAAACATTTAAGTTTTAGAGTTGTTTCTGGTTAAAAATATTATCTATTTAATATAATTTGGGGTAAAGAAAAACTTTTCACAATATTTTTCTAGATGAATAGAAAAAACTAACAAAAAAGGAAGTAGATAACAGAAATATTTACGCAATATTAGTTTTAAAAAAAGTATTTTTTTTTTTATGTAGTAAAAAAAGAAATCAACAAAGAAATTTTAAATATTTACTTTTTATCATATTATTTTTAAAATATTTTAGCTTTTTTAAAAAAAATAAATAATGTTTTATTTTTTTTTAACAAGATATAATGTACCTACCTACAATCTGTACCTTTGGGCGCAATAAGAACATTTGATAAGAGTGGATTTAAATATGAACCACATGCGGGATTACTATAGTATGACTAAAAATAAAAAAATAAAATATTAATCACAATAGGTACCTACCAGAAATATTTAATAAATTATCATATAATATAGGTACATTGTGAAGTTTCCATATTATTTTGATTATTTTGAAGTAGGTACCTAATTTAATTTTTATAAATTTGAAATATTATTGATTGTTATTGATAATTTTTTTTTCTTCGCCAAAATGTAATTAAGGTTTTTTGTTAGTTATTTTCATATATATTTAAGAAATAAAAATTATAAATTTTATTCATAAAAGTTTGAAAATAAAATTTAAATTGTTACTTTATTAATTATTTTAAGGTGGATTTATTATAATATGTTAAATTACCGCTACACAACGAAAATTGTTTTGGACGATTATTCATTCACGCTGTAGTTATTTTTTCCTCGAGCAATAAGTATTAAAAAATAAGATGCGATATTTTAAAACATTGATGGGTATTAATGTATATAGGTATTATATTTTAGGTATTGACTGTCTGAAACAAAACGGTATTTGTATGACTGGCTTGCGTATTTTATATTTTTAAAGCGCGTTTATCATAGTCCTTACTATTATATCGTATTTTAGTAAATAGTTTTTCTTAGGTTTTTTAGTCAAATTATATAAAAATAATTTTTAGTTTTAAAATATATATATATACATTTAATTTCTTACAGTTTTACATTTTCAAAATGTATTATTAAGTGAATATATTTTATAATATTATAAGATAGGTGTATTACTGAAAAAAACATAATGTTAGATAATTTATTAAAATCTTTTTTTTGCTCACTTCGTAATTTTATTCTATAAAATCATACAGACAAATATAATATGTTCTTTCTAACTTCCCACTGCGCTAAATATTATTATATTAACGTTGATCAATTTTTAATTTTAATATTGATTAAAATATTTTAGTTATAAATACTAATTATTAATAGAGCATAAATAAAAAAATACAGTAATCAGTAAAAATAGTGAATAAATTGATTTATTAAAAAACCACTGCTGATTGAGAGGTTATCAAAATTTTGGCCGGAGACTTTAACGAATGCATAGAACATTAATGATGTTTTGTTTTCGATCATGAATATTATAATATACTATATGTATATACAGCTTCAGCGACTCGTGTTCTTCCGCGGAGACGCTATAATAAAAACAATAAAGATAAACTGCGTGAAGATAAATTAAAAATAAATTATTCTGTTAGCACGCGCCCATTTACATAATTATACAGTGTTTGGATTTAAATTATTGGCGAAACAAAACAATAAAGGCCAATAAATCGGGCCGACCGGCGTTGATATTACATTATGATGAAGACATCGTCATCGTGTCTTCCGATTATTGCTTTAAGGGATTTCGGGACACATTATGAAACTCGTACGTACATAACATCATATATTTGTAATGTGTATAATATACACGGCTCATGAATATTTAACAACTACACCTTTTTTCGTTTTTATAATATACACGGAATTCCTGATCAATCATTTTAGCTGTTGGCATTTCTGTTTTTTTTTTTTTGTTTTCTTTAATAGACCCCCCACAACATGCGACGAACCGCCTGCGCGCTATTAATTAATGGACCCCAAGTGTTTTGGTACTTGTATGTATGTACGTATACGACACATTCCTCTCAATCTTTCTCTCTCACTCTTTCTCTGTTTTCTCCATCTTCGGCGGCAGCATCTGTACTGATGTTCGACGGCTTACCTGTTCGACACCAGACAACCCGGCTCCATCACACCGTATATACTGCATGCGTGTGTATTATGGCCCATTGTTTTTTATAGTCAGTCGTAAAATATATCCCAAAACAATTTCGGCAAAACGTCGTCGTTGTTGATTCCCTCTCAGCATTTCAAGCCTTAAGTTATGGTGTAGAAGCTATGAAAAAAAAAAAAAAAACATTTTTTAAAATATGTTTTCTGGAGACTTATTATATTATTATATTGGATACGACGTACACGTATCGTATCGAGATCTCGACGGATATTCATATTGATCGATCGCACAGTTCAAACTCGCTTAGCAACACTTAAATAAGTCGGTATATTTTTTCGTCTGTTGTATTTAATATTATTTTTTGAACGTTATTCGTGTTTGAATTCATACTTCATTAGATATTATAATGTGTATCATACACAACTTACGAGCTATTTATGTATAATTCCTTACTAATTTATAATTATTTTATTGTTTCTAGAAAAACTGTCCGAAGCGAAGTTTGTATTGTCCGGAAGAAGTTTGCAGAGATACGACAATTAGATCAGATCGTCATAGTAATTACTCAATTGACGGGATATTGTCAGGTAATTTATAGTTTATTTTATTTTTCCATAAATAAATACTTTTATCAATATACTTACTATATTATTATAAGCAATATTTAGTTTACGATATATATTATAATTATTTATGAAGTAATAAATGGTCTAAAATAAACAATATACAAATAATACTTGAACAATTTAATGTGTATATAATAGCATAAATTAGACGACCCTGTTTAATGTATTAATTAATCTATGATAACATTAATATATAATAAAGTAATTATTTTTATTTTAAATAGAACAAATACATATATATATATAATATTTGAATATATTTTTGAAATATATATTGGTTAAAATCAATAGACGTAGGTAGTTAATTTTTGAAATCTCATTTAACAGTATAATATATTAACATATCGTTAATTATTGATTTTAGTTCTGTGCATCTTTAAAACATATTTCTACCGGCCACCATGCAATTATGAAAAATAATAATAATAATAAAAAAAATATAAAATGAAAAAGATGAGTGATTATGATTAATTCATCTAAATTCGTATTTCCTATATTATACGAGTGTCATTATTAATAAATCTATAGAAAATTATGTATACAAATTTGTATTAAAATATATTATAAATATTAGCGATGAAAAAATGATTTAACATTTTTCAGTTTTTCACTTAGATATTAATATTAAACATTATGAACACAATTAACAACAATATTTTATAAGGTTTAAGAATATTAAAAATTTAATTTATTATGTTTACCTATTCAAATTGTATAAAATAACTTACACATGAATAGTTGGATTATAAATTTGCGTAACTGCATTAATAATAATCACACACACACAAAATATTATTGAATAATATAAATTACACTAAACATAGATTTCTCTTCATTTTATTCAAATTTAAATTTTTTTGACTTTATAATTCATAATATGCATACGATTATTATATATAAAAGGTAAATTTTGGTGAATTGATTTATGTTAAAATAGAAGAACTAATCGCAATACTATATACATTAATACATTATTTGAATGTAACCGTATAGCTGATAGTTTAAAGTTTAGTTTATAATATTATGTAGGTTTCAGCATAAATCATAAAACTTGGACATAACTCGTTAGGAATTACAGGTATTTTATGCACACAAAGCGCGAGAAGGAAAACGTTTTCTCGGCGTATAGTAAAATGTAGGTATGTCTGTTGCTACTCGATAAATTATATCTAATATTACAATATATTATTTTGAAATAAAAACTTGTCTTTTCAACTCGCATTTGCGCAATATTTATCTCGCGGGATTATATACTTATATCAACATTGTTATTGGTATCGATTTAAAATTTTAAACGTTTGCTTTACATCCCTGGTACCTATATAATATAAATTGGTACACTTCAATGAAATGGTATATACATAATATATATATATATATTATATAAGTATGTGTAAGATATATATACCTTTGTATATTATCCGTTGCGACAATGCCAATATAATGATGGTTATTTTTTCGGTCGCGCTACCGATATATGATCAACACCGTTTAACTTGTTTTGGCCGCCAACCTGGAAATCAGAGTAAATACAATATTGGTGTACGATATACATACCTATATATTATATATTATAACGCATCGATAATCCTACAACTGCAGGGTGCAGTAGCATAATTGAGCGCTTTGGACTACCTATATAATATATATAGGTGAGACTACGAAGACGACGACGATGATGATAATAATAATAATAATAATATACAATAGTACATATTATTATTATTATTATTATTAAGAACGATCGAAAAACTTCCATTAATCATGAGTGCACAACCATTATTACATAATAATATAATGTTGTGGGGGCACAAAGCGTTGCGTGCCACTATTGTCATCGGGTATCTCAGCAGCAGCTACTGCAGATCGCTGAAAAAAATCTTAATGATGGATTTCACGGCATTATATAGTTATTGGCTTCCGGAATACATCATTAAGCCCCCGTGCAACGATGTACATTATTATAAAAATAACATCGGTGGCATTTCTCAAGTTCTCGATCGGCGGCGCGCCGGGGACATGTATATCGTGTTTTCTCAACTACGTCCCGCTGTTTCAAAATTGTATCATAAACATATATCATTCGGAAATGGACTACTGCATTGTTCCGCGCTGCCAAAAACCATGTTCGAATATTTCACTCGGGTTTTTTTTCTTTTTTTCTAGGGTAGGGGGTATTCTTACGCAATATAAATTGTTTCTTTTGACGTCGCTGGTGTAGCCCGATTTTAGCCATTATACGTCGTTTATGGAATTCATTTCACACCAAATCAGATTTAAGTTATTGACCAAATGGAATATCGTACAAATACATAATATATATAATATTTATACAGGTAACTGCTATTTATGTTATACTGTTGCACAGTGATTCTTTCAAAGGAAAACACTCATTAAATCGAAAAGTATAATATTAAACTATACCTAGATGGTAATATGTTTTTAAATAATTTTCGATGATTTAAAAAAAAAAAAAGTTTAATTGTATTGATTTTTGTATTTGAAATTGTAAATGTTTTTTTTTTACTTTTTTAAAGAATAGCATAAAATTTTAGTCATCTATATAGTTACCTATTCCAAAAAAAGGATATTCTTTGATAATTATTTCAGTATATAAATATAATCATTTCGAACGAGTTTTTAATTAATTTTAAGTATTTAAGATTTAAATAGGTGGTATGGAATGGAGGAAGGATAATGCCTAAATGTTGGTCCAATAATGTTTATCTAGACTTGAAATAATTGTAACAGACAAAATAACTTTTTAATGTTATTATTATTAAATATTCAATATTTGTTACTTATGTAATACTCCTAATGAACACAATATAAACTATATACGATCTTAACCTGAGTGTAGTAAATTGTAAAAAAAAAAAGAATACGTTTTTAGTTTTAGTCTATATCATATTTTTAAAGGGGTCTATGAAATTTGTTATTTCATCAAAGCATTTTTATCATAAATTTCAAGAGTACCTACATATATAAATAAAATAATATGTTGCAACCATATATTATATAAAAATATAATACCTTATGATTTATAGAGACTTTGACAATTTAATTTTGATTAAGATTTTCAATTTCATATCTATACAGTATTTTTTTGTTTATATATTCAATCATTATTATGATGTGTTTATAACTGAAACGTGGTAAAAAGAAAAAGGTTGAGGTTTTTATATTTCACGAGTATTTTGGGTATTTTAATAAACGGATTGGGTGTGATAAAACTTTTATAATGTGATAATTTTTGCAATAAATCAATATTCCGTAATTCTAAAAATTTCAATTTTGGTGCTATATTCTCTAGTCTTTATCATGGTGCATAATATATATATCGGACATCGGTATATGCTTTATAAAAAAATTATAAAAATTTTAATCGCTTATGAGAGATGAACTGTTACTTTAATATTATTACGTTTTCACGTATATAAATGAATCACAGAAATGAATATTATTATGCAAAACAATAATATTTGCGGTGTCTACCTAAATGTGTATAATATATTATACCACATGTTCACGTTGGCTATTGTTGGTATAAATATTATATTATTATATGTACCTACATGGTATTCACGAGTGATGGTCGGAAAATCATGAAGTGACCTGAAAAATGAAATTACAATGAAGTGTCGGCAGACTGTCGTGAACCGCACATTAGGCCCCAGCTGTAGTACAGGTACATAATAGCGCGGCACGGAAAGGGCGTTCGGTAAGTTAATACGCCGCACCAATAGTGGTCGGCGCGAGATCGTCGCTGGATGCGTATGTACAATATAGACACATAACGTGAAATATGGGACACGATAATAACACACCTGTGTGCGAGAGAACATATCTGACGACAGCGACAATAATTAAGCTAAAATATATGAATTAACCTTGAAGTTTCCATAAAATAGAAAAAAAATATACAACACGATCGTGTTTACAAAATATAGTGAAAATCGTTACATGCGGGGGTCTATAATTTTCAAACGCCACATCATAACGTGCTGTTTTGTACCAACTCGACGCCGAAATAATGATATTATTAGATATTAGAAACAATATTATTATAATAATATAATAATACATTAATACATGGGTGTATATTATTTTTACATAGCGTTCCTTACATATACGATGCGTGTGGGTCAGTGGCGGCTTGCCAGGCAAGGCAATAACCTATGCACATACTCACCTCATCTTAATCATAAGAAGGAAAGAAAAAATATATAAATATTTCTTCATTTTCGAACATTATTCATGTCGTTATAAATTGTCTATGATTTTTTTCGAAATTTTCAAATTTTGATTAATTCTGTAATGAATGCAGACAATTATAAAACACAAACGATTTGCCACCTAATGTTTAAATCCCACTGTGAATGAAGCTAAAAATATAGTACGAAACAATAAAGCTAAAAACATTTATTACTTGATACTTCAGAGAAAACGTTCAACAAAATACCTATTAATCGACTTCTTTAATATTTACATCAGTTTTGTCAATAGACACCAACATTTTTTCTTTGTTATATTTCGTATTTTTTCAAACATATTATTATATATTGCCATTGCAACCCATCAAGGCATGTTTTTCATGAAGCATATTTGGTAAGCACGTAAATGTGAAGAATATGTACTTTTTAAGAAACTTCACAACTCGATGTTCGAAATTTTGTATAAATCTTTGTAAAAATAAAATATTTACGTTAAATAATAATTGATTATTAGAATATAGGTAGGTATAATAAGATATAATCGTAAATTTTTAATTCAAAAAAATATTAAATATGCATAAAAATGTGATATAAAGATTAAGTAATTTGCAAAAATATGCATTTAAAATAATATCTCGTTTTGAAACTCGTCATTTGACAGCATTGACTTTTAGCTTTTGGTTTGCTATTAATCGATTCCTATAATAATATTATTGAATAATATGCAACTGCTACAACTTCTGAGCC